TATTGAACTTCCCGAAGAAGAGCCGGAACTAGGAGGTAAGGTACCACCTCACTCTCCGAGAGCCAAAGGTAGGCCACATTCGTCAGACTCTGCAAAAGAGGAATACGCGAAAGCGGTCGAGGCAACCAAGAAGGCCTTTGGGAACGCCAGTTTCGTCACCAGATTCAAAGAGCCCGTCGACCTCTTTGACATTGCCGATGACAAAGAAGGAGGAGAGTACAGGGTCGCAAATCACAGGGTTGATAGATCAGGTCCTAATGGAAAGTGGGAACTTGATGCACTTATTCAGGAGGCTGCAGCACTCGGAATAAAGATGCCCAAAGTGAAGGACCTTGCTCCTGACCCACAACAAGCTCAAAAGGTTGGATATCGGCAGATTGAGGTGACTTGCGATAGAGGAAGCATCGAGATAATTCCACAGTATGGAGTTACATTCTATGTGGAGTACTGGAATGGACCGAAGAGAGATGCAACTTTCACGGATCCACCAAAGATGAACCCAGCAACTCGCATCGACAAGTTCAGCGAGGAGAGTCAGCGGGTCAACGAGGTTAGCCATAGACTCAATAGACTACTCAGGCATGGAGTGGGAAAGCATAATGGGATTCAATCGCACCGCGGTCGAAAACCTCATGTGTCCAATGAGGGTGGATGGGTGAACATCGATGAGATCCTGGAATATGACCATGTCTTCAACGATGGTGTCGATATCAGTACTATCTCAGATGATCAACGTGAGCAAAATGTCAAGACAGAGCGATACCAGGATTTATGCAAGGCGATGTGGCATGCAAAGAAGTTGCAGAACAGAGTACGCTATCAGATTGCCGCCATTCGTATCTCAAGGGAGGATGTCTCACTCGAAGAGGAAAGGCAATACTGGGCAAACCTCATGTATTACAGCACAGATGCACCGTCATTTCTGAAGCATGAACGTTGGATCGTTCCTTGTGCAATTCGAGCTGTTGCCTCTCACAATTCTGGAAGAGAGACTGTTCTTGAAGAGGATGTGTCAATATATCCTGTGTGGACTTCACATCTCATTCCAGAGAATGTGGCAATGCAGCTTGGAGGAAGCTTTCACATGACATCGCTTTCCAATATTGAGTCACTCATGAAACTAGGAATTGTCCCTGGTGGAACGGAGGGATATAGAGGTAGTGTTTTCTTCAACCACTTTGCGCCGTGGGATGATCGATCATCAAAGATTCTGAGATCAAGATGGCCAAGAGTGGGAATGCCCGTTTGCCTTTATGTTCCAATCATGACTTTGAGGAAGCTTGGGGGAAGAATTTCGGAGAATTCCTACACTGTTGTTTTTAGAGAAGTTCCATGGAGATGTGTACGAGGTGCTTGGTATTGGGACGACTACGTTCAGGCATGGAGGAGACTCCTGCTGGGAAGCACTGGAGAGCAAGTTGTTCTAGCGGCACGTCATGGACTTTGGGTTGCTCAGAAGCATACCATCCTCGAGAGAGCCGACGAAGTCACGAAGTCAGCCTCGGCGACAGATGACAACGTCCAAAAGCTCGTGTCCCTTATCGATGAAGTACAATTCGATGACAATGGAGAGCTGATCGAGGATTCCATCAGTGAGGAAACTTGGGACGAAATCATCTCCAGAACATGTGAAGGGTATCGCAACGTGGATGGCAATATTTTGTGTCCATCATGTATGCATTTGACTTCTTCATCTTTGTCCGTGTGTCTATCTTGTCAAGGCAGGCTACTCTCGTGTGGTATTCGCAACACTGTCATTTCCGATTCACCCGTTGATCTTGTGAGCGACGATGAAGAGGAAAAGAAGGAAGAGAAGGAGCCTGAAGATGATGATCAAGATATCTTGGACCAGGCCACTATGGACGAGATCAGAAAGGCTTGGGAAGAAGACATCGCTCAAACTGAAGCAGCTGACGACGACGAGGACATGGACAATCTAGATCCTTCCAAACCGTCTGATGGTGCAGAAAACTTCAAGAGTGACAATGTCGAGACCCCATCTTTCAATGAGGACGAGATCGACTACGATCGTGATTCTGATCTAGAAGATGAAGACGAACGAAACGTGATCATCGAGATCCAGAGGAGCACACAACAATATGAGGGGAAGAAATGTCAAGATGGTGAACCCGAGGATGAAGACGTCACCGACGACTTACATCCGGAGGCGAATCGACCGACAGATCGTGATGAACCGGGATACTATGCACAGCATGGAGCGACCGAGTTCAATCCCGAAGAAGGAAGAGACAACGAAGATCTCCCCATCTATTGTCGAGTACCGGAACCTCGAATCTATGCGCATCAAGAGAGAGCCTACTGTCAGGACGTCTCCGTGAATGCATCGGGTTTGATGGATAGGTATGTGGTCAAATGTGTGCTGAACATGATCTCCCTGATGTACAAGAGCTACTATTGCACCAGCCTTACCGACTTCAAAGCAAATTGGAAAAGGAAGCGACTGGATGTGATAAGCAAGTTCGGTACAGAGGATTTCACTGAAATCGATGACGATGGGAGACCATTGGATCCAACAGATGACATGATGAGAATCTTTGCCAACGAAAACAAGATTACGATTGAGGAGGCCTGGCACCGATTCAGAGGAGAGCAATTCATTTGCAAGGTGGCACTCGTGATCCTATCATTTGGTCATACTCCGTACTCCTTCAAGAAGGAATATGGCAACTTCGAATACTCCACCAACTTGACTGACGTCCAGCTTGAGGAGTTGAAAGCGAAGAAAGCCAGCGCAATGACTGAATTGGTACAGAAGTGCATCCATGCGATTTATGGGTGTCGGACATATTCTTACTTTAGAACCGACGTTACATCACCCTACCACAAGGTGATCGATCCTCTGGACATCATGTACTCGAGAATGAAGAGCAAGTGGGAGAAGTCTATTCTGTTGATCATTGATCAACATGAGATCAGGTTGCCCCCACACGCTCAGAATGTCGTAGAGTCAATGGCCAGAAATCCCAATATTGGACATACAGAGAGATGGATGAGCGTGGTAGAACAGAAGCATGTTCAAGCTCTTACCGATCGTCTAGGCTTTGGAGATAGGGCCAAGGAGATTCAGGGCAAGAAGAAGCAGGCAGCCAAGGCAACAGCTAAGTCAACATCAACGACTAAGTCTGAAGCGAAAGCAGCATCTTCGTCAAGAGCTGAGGCAAAGCCAGCATCTACACCCAGAACCGAGGCCAAGCCGTCGTCAGCACCAAGTGAGGAGCCAAAACCTTCAACAGCACCTAAGAGTTTCGGGCCCTCATCAGCAGAGGAGAGCAAGGCGAAGGCTGCTCCAAAAGCCAGACCACATGATAAATCACCATCCAGTGCTACCGATGTGTTTGAGCAAGCTTTGCAGGAAGATCTTGCCGCCAACGCACATGCAGCAGAAGGTACAACTTCTTCATCATCCCGAGGACATTCCAAAGGAGGAGGCCAATCTGGAACATCTTGGAGGCCGGCGCTAACGCAAGAACGTCGCGAAGTACCTCAACCTTCTGAAAAGGGGAAGGGAAAGAGCAAGTCCAAGGGAAAGTCCAAGAAGGGAGAAGATGATCGGCGGGATGCTCAGGGCAGCTGGGATCATCGTGGATGGAGAGGTTATCGCCAGTGGTGATTTCTTTGAACGACTATGAGGATACCATGCAAACCAGGGAGGAAGTCATTCACCGGATGTCTATCTGATCTGAAACGCTGTAAGTGTATCATTGCAAATCATCGAATTGACGATTTGATACCATGAGCATAATGGAAGGTAGACAGTCACCGACTGTCTCTCCGACTTGCCGTTCTGTAAGTGTATCCAAACCAAAACCTACATCTTTTGAGAAGTGTGAAGTCAGTTGCCGATGTGACATCTACGTGGAAGTCACCAGTTCGGATCTACATCAAAGCGATGCTCTTTTGAGTGGATACTGAGCGAGGCCTCGTGACTGTCTCACTTGTTCAATTCGATTTTTCATAGGTTCTGAGCCATAGTTGCACACTTTATATGTAAAAGTCCGCTTTAGTCCAGCATGTTTCGTAGTATGAGCCTCATATGAGTCTCGCGGCAAATCATACAATTTCTTTTGTAGCACTTACATCCCTAAATTTTCGTGTGTGATCGGAACATATTGTTGCCGTTCACATGGGGGGTGCGAATGGAAGTGCAGCGACACATACAGTGCAACTTGTACATATATATGTACCATATGTACTTTGGCTCAAGGATCAAGCGACTAGAAAAGGTGCGGTTTCCGTTCCGACGCTACGCCGCTTATGGATCGTCAGTGATAGCTTCAAACTTCGCTGATTAAGATCCACTCGCATTGTATGTGAAACCGTTTACGTTTCATGGGTTTGAGGGCATAGAATAGGGTATCGTTTAACAGACCTGGGGTCAATTGTCAGGCAAAGCTCCAAAAACCAGCACAACAAACAATTTTGCTGCTAATGTTTGTAACTTTTGTGTCGTTCAGCTTGTCAATTTGCAGTGATGCTTTTTGAAGGTTTTGCATTTTTCTGCATCATATTTTCTGGCGGAGACAGACAATAGGGTCCAGGTCAACACTGCATTGCTGGCGAGTGGGACGGTCAAAGAGGCCAACAGTCAAATAGTTTCAAGAGGCCTCCGTTTGACATAACTGTCAAACCATAGTTGTGCCATGTTGCGCCCCCCAACAGCACCAGGTTTGTGTCTCAATGACTGGAAAAGAGCACCTCCAAAATCCTTGAAACAGCTATCCTCTCTGACTCTCTTTGCCTGAATCCTTCTATTGCGTCAATGGATGCATTTCTTTAATGTTCTTTATATAATTATACAGAGTATAAGTATACTTCAAGACTTGCATTCACTCGGAGGGTCAAGCAGAGTCAAGCACCTGCCATGAATCCGCGGCTAAGCCCTTCCTCCGCTTCCACGGCTTTGCCCGCCAAAACGCTCGCACACCAAACGCTCGCGCCCTCTCCGAGAAGCGAAGCGCAGCGCCGGCAAGCGCCTCGAGGTGGATGAGGTCTTCAAGCGCAGCTTGTTGGAAGACATCTTGCCCACCTCCGCCCCGGAGTTCATGCAGAGCACCGAGGCGCGCTGGCACGCACGAGCTGAAAATCAGCCAGCGCGCCAGCGCAGCAGAGATTCGTCGGCCCAAAAGGTGTGGTCTTTTCCGGTGTGGCCAGTGGTCGACTGGGTTTTTTGGACACGCCGTGACCCTCACCTCTAAGATGCTGTGTTCGGGTCCTGGTATAGGACTTTACCGCACAGCGAGTTGGTGCGCGTCAACCTCCTGCGCAGGATGGCATCGTCTTCCGCATCTATCGGCCACTCGTGTGCTGCAGTGATGTTGGTCGAGCGTACCTCCTCAGAAGGTACTTGGGCCCTCTAAACCCACCCACAAACACCTTAAGAATGTACGACTGGAGGCCAAACGAACACATCTTCTCGCATCATCAGCACTTCAAACACCCTCAACCACTCTGATCCCGCTCCTTGCTCGCTCGCTCGCTCGCTCCGCACGTTCACTGGCACCTTCACTCCTTCCCCTTCGCTCGCTCTTGGCTCCGGTGGAGGCACCGATCGCGTCGACCCGAGGCTCGGACGCTTGGAGGTCCGTACGGCACAGGCACCGAACTCAGAGGCACGGCGTCCGCTCTCGGCGCGTGGTGGGCCGACTCCACCGGGCGAGCTGCTTTTTGACACCTGTTTCGGTTTGGGGCAGGACGAGTTGCGATCAACTGTTTTTGTCACAGGATGTTTTTCATGCGTTTGCCCTATGTGCCCATGATGGAGAGGTTCATGATGTTCCACCAGCAAAAATGAGCGTGTATAGTTGTGTGAAATCAGGACACTGCTATGTCGCCACTGATCAACCAGGCAAAGACCTTAGAAATATACGTCACAAGAATATACCCTCCATCCAACAAACATGGAAATGGAACATGGCCCCTTGGAAGACTGTTTTCCTCTACGAACAGGCTGTATTCTGCTTCCATAATTGTTTCGGGTAGTATGAATCATTGAATTGGTTTAAGGGAAAATCTGCAGGACACCCTTGCTTTCACTCGTTTCACTATGGTGTTCCTGGAGTTTTCCTGTCGATTTTCCATGAAACCAATTCTGGGAATTATAGATTATGAGCTCATCATGCTCAGATTAGGCCAGTCCGTCCCCACAGATCCGACATAATCCGATGGCCTGGCCTGCCTGCGCCTTCTGTCCTGCAGAGATAGCAAGTCGGTTTTGTGGCCGCTTCTGTGTGAAAAGAGTCCTCGCTTGAGACCATCAGCCGGAAGGCGCCGAAGGGCTGTTTACGCAGTGGTTGCAACCCGAATCCACATGCGTTGCGAATGGTTTGATGCTAGCAACATCAAACATGCGCCACAGAATCCACATGGTGACCCTTGCACCACGCACGACTTTCTTCCTGATTCCACCATGAAAACATTTGCCCTACATTGCCCTACCAGATCCTCCTCTTTCAGGGGTGTCGGCTTCAAAGCCCCCTACCAGACCTTCGACCGATCGCAGAAACTGACACGGCCGACCTCATGGCATAGAGCTTCAGGTTTCATTTGACCAGAATCCATAGGAAAACCACCCAGGAGTCACAAAGGGGTGGTGTTTAGTCCCTAAGTGAGTGGATAATGGGCACCCTTAACCTCCATTAAGCACCCCTTTGTGACTGCTGGACCACAAACATCTCTCGCCGCCTCCGCGTTTCTCATTTTCTGAAGGCCTAGGATGTACGTGATCTATTCATGATCGATCTCTCCCACCCGGTGGGGTGTTTCGAGCGGAGTGCCGGGTGGGGACATACCGCTCACAGGAGCAAGAGATTCTCTCGGTGTTCTCCCAGCGGCCTGTGACCGAGATGGCACCAGGCACCAGGGCGGCTGGAAGAAGACGAACGTGAGTGGGGCACCGCAAGCTGGGAACCTCTTAGAGTATAGATATAGTTGGAGTACATGTTAGTACATGTTAGTACATGTTTTGTTAGTCATGTTACTAACAGAGATGGTCCTCTTATGTCTCCTCTTTAGGTCATTTGAGGACCATCTCTGTTGCTGCTTGGTGTGCGCCGGGGTGCCTTGACCGGTGGGCCGAACTGGGCTCCCACCTTGTTTTGATGTATGTCCAACACTCCCCTGGAAAGCCACCCGACAAATGTGTTTTCAACTGTATGGAGTATTCCCCTATACAGCCTATATACACAGATTGAAAGAATCATTTGGGTGGTTTCAGGGGAGTGTTGCGGACGTCATATTCCATGGAATATATACACTGACCCCTTTGTTCACCACCCGACGTGATTGGTAAATGTACCGTACGTCCCAGACAGCTCGTGTTTGGGTACATCTGTGAGAGCCTTGGAAATTCTCAGCCCTAGATGGAGTGGTCTTGGACTCCCAGGATGTTCTTAGAGTTTGACATCTGAACCCAGGCAAAGAGTTTAACCAAGGCAAAGAGCTTAAACACAACCCTAGATACTCAGCGTGTTCAATAACCTAGGAAAGTGCAAACTGGACATGATGTTCTTTTCATGATTTCTGCTTACTCCCTGTTGATGGACAACATCTTCTTTCCGTCCGACCGCGTTGATGCGACGCTGCGACACTTCGCGTGGTGTCCGGCGACGGGTCGGTAGCAGGGGGCTTCGATTGCGGAGTTTGTGGGCCAGGGTGATCCCTTGGCTAATAGCCCAGTAGAGTATCATAGAGCAATAATAGAGCATGTTGAAAGCAGTAACAGATAATGACAGTATGAGACCATCTCTTTTTTGTCCTTTCCATTTACAGTTATCCTGGAGTATACATGGAATTATAATGAATATATTGGGGACATCCAAAAGAAGACAGGCTCCAGCAGCCTGGCAGCCAGGTTCTGTCAGGATCCAGGGATGCTGGGATCCATCTGGACCTGGGAGAAGCTGCTGCTATAAAACCAAGACCAAGAGCCAAATCATGGCAAATCCTATTGGAAGCTGGGAAGTTCTTGTGACATGTCCTTTGTGTTTCTTCCGATATGTGTTCGTTGCTCTCCTTTGTTCTGCTGAGGCAAGATGAAGGCCGTTTCCCAGGATGAGAAGTTCATCAAAGGCGCGTGTTGGGTCCGTCGTCCACATCGGTGTTGTGCCGCCAGTAGCGCCAGGCTCCCGGGCCCTAAGGATCCAGTGGTACCGAACCTCAGGTAAGGTGAGGACGGAGACACTGTTAGGTTCGGGTTCCAGAATTGTAAGGGAAACATCCAATTACAGGAGACCATACCCTAGGCATCCAGTCGCTCCCAACCGTTCTCATGGGTTTGTGGATGGCATGACCCCTTTGTTTGACCATGAAATCCTCATACCAAACAGCGGGGATTGTCCACTTCGATGCTAGTGCGTGAGAGTGCAACAACCCTGAACATGGACCCTTCTCTTGAGCAGTGCTTCTTGGGGTGCATCTTTGTTGGAGGGAGAGTGAGCGGATGTGTTGGAGGGAGGGGTCAAAGCACCGACATGTGACCCACTTTGATCCACCCTGATCGAGTTGTGTTTTTCTTTCAATTCGACTGGACCAGGTGAACAGCTTCAAGCAAGGTGACCACCAGTATACATACCTGGCATACCCATGTTTGTCTATTCCCTTCCTCCCCAGCAGTTGCTTTTGCTTTATTGGGTAATTGGATGTAATTGGATTTTCCCGATGGTCAACCCCATTCTGGGGAGTGCTTCTAATGTTTTGCCCGGTAAGACAGCAAATCCAAGATCCTTTGGTCTCCACCTGAGCCGTGCTGAACAAGCAAAACGTGGCAGCCGCATAGCACTTCTCCACCGCCAGGGCGCCTTTACGTGGAGGCAATCGAGGGAGATCACAAGGAGCCTCAAAGATCGCACGTTGTTTTTGGACGAAGTTCGGCGCCATGGCGGACCGCTCCACGGAGTGCAAAGCCCCCTCAAAAGATCTATACTTATTGTTCGCTCCAAGTGTCAGGCGTTGCTTCTTTTTTGAGGTCAGCCTGCAGACTAAGGCGCCAAGGTCAAAACATGTCAACAAGATTTAAAAAGGATCATTTTAGGATTCACCACGTCACGGACAAGAAAGAGATCCACTTGAGAGTCTTGTGAGGCTGTCCTTGGAGTCTTGTGAGGATCAGTGAAGCTCTTATTGCCCCCCGCGAAAACAAGGGATCTGATCTATCGCCTTGATCGACTGACGGAAGTGTCCGAAGGACCAGGTGGCCAGCTGAAGGTTAGGTGTTCAATCCGTACATCATACATCCAACATGATTCATCAGAAGGAGAGTGTGAAAAAGAAAACTCTCCCTGAGCACCCCTGAAGAACATGGTCTTCGGGATGAATGTTCCACTTCCGTGGTTGTGTCAAGGAGAGTATTTTCTTGTCTACCGAGTCTACTCACTCCAAGGGCAAACAGAAAATAAGTGTCAAAGGATTCCTACTGTTGATGGAATCTGAGAATCTTGTCCTGGAAGGGTTCATCAACTGGAATGGAGTGTATATAGTATAGTTTATATAATGCGTTCAGGAACTCCATATTGAATAGGTGGAACTCCGAACTCTTCCTTCCGACATGATTTAAGTCATTTAGTCAGTCTAGTCTTCAACTATAGATTTAACATGTACCAGCACCCTCCAACAGGTCGCCACCTGCGACTTTTAAGTCAGCAAAAGCCTCCAGAGTAGGGAGTCACGGTGTGGTTTGCGCATCTACCCTGCTTTTGTATGCCATCTTACCGTGACCTGTGCAGAAACTGTGTAGTAATTACCACGGACCATACTGTGCAAAAAAGATCACCGAAGCAATCGACCGGACACAGCAGGATGCGGCCAAGCAGCTGCATTTGTGCCACTTCTACGTCGTGGCTGGGATGGAAAACGAAACCGATCAAGCAGATGAGGAGGATGTGAACAGGTGCAAATCCGAAGCATCAACGATTTGGCTGTGGGTATCTGTGGGTCATAGCACCTGGAAGCCCGATACTACCCTAATGGCTTGACATGCCCTGGTGGCTTGACATGCCCTGTCAGAGGAATCTGTGTTCATTTGATCCGCGGAGGGCTCGAGGGCTGTGGAGTTTTGATCCCCAAATCTCCTCCCTTAGGGACCTGGAAGTTTGCGACCTGAGGAAGTCTGGGCCAAATACAAACCCCAAGGTCGCCCAGGGGATGGTTGGTTAGATCATAATGCATTGAGAAGAAAACGAGGAGGGCGTGAAACGCTGAGCTGGACATGAACTCCATCCCTAGCCCCAAAAAACCACCTGGAAGTCTGGGACTGGCATGAAACCCATTAAACCATCCACCAGGTGGATTTCAGGGCTTCGGATGGCACTCTCAGTCCCTGGTGAGTGCCTTGGGGAGCGCGCCCAGGTTCTTGAGACGAAGAGCGGGCACACCATCCTCACTGAGAAGTTGGCGGATGGAAGCACCACTTGGGTGCCTGGGATCCACTTGGGTTGATGGGAAAGAGCACAGAGCTGACGAACGTAGACTCTTAGATGATATGTTATTCAACCTTCCCACTATAAATAGTTAGTTATATAGTTAGTATGTACAAGGGGTTGGTTCAATCCAATGGTAGGATTAAACAAACCAGGCGGGACTGAAGAGTTTAATCCACATGTGAGGGGTTTATGTGAATCAAGATTCTACATGACCGACGACATGGACCATAGAAAGCCAGACATGATTGCATACTTTAAACCTGGAGGTTCTCCCATTCCGGGTTCGGTTCTCTATATACTGGACCGAAAGAGAATGACTCCTATAGTCAAAGTTGTCATCCAACATCTCACACCCTTTTTTTTGGGGGGGGGCGAGGTAGGGGATGTTTCTATGCCTTTCCACAAGAGATTTGTTTGTCCCATTGAACCCCAGTAAAGACATCAGAAGCAAGTCTTCTCCCGAACGCCCCACGCTTCCCAATTCCCAAATGTCAATGGACGAACGTAACAAACGCCCAGGTGGTGAACCCCAATTGCTTGGAAGATCGCAATTCCTTGGCGAAGCTCATGGTTTGCTTGGACATCCGAATGGAGTGCCTGATCGGTAAAGGTCCAGATCCGGACTGGATCAAGGAAGGGGACACACCGTTGGCTGGGGAGGAATGGGGGAGGGCAAGAATGGCCTGCAGGGATTTCCTAACAAGGCTGTACAAAAGGATCCGTTGAAGGCCTCTTGATCAACTTGGAAGGTGGTAGCTGTTTCTCAGGAGTGAGTCAAGGGTATCCATCTGCCCCTTTCAACCGCAAGCTCTCAGCTACGTTGAGTTTTTTGACCAGTTGCTCAAACAAAAAAGAAGTACTATCCCTGGGGCTCCAAGTACCTCCTTAGAAGGTATGACAGGACCCTCTAAACTTACCCCACCCCAGTCCCACCTTCTAAGAAGATCCGGTCCGGGTGTCGCCCAAACGGGTATACTAATTCAATACACGGTCCATGCCTTGATCCGACCATGTCCGACACCTGTCCAGCTTCGTTCTCCCAACCCCTTCGGTTGTTTCTTCGGCCGGGCCGAGCGGGAGAACGAGACGGTGCGCCATGGATTGAGCAGCCGAGCTAACTTTGCTTCGAACTGAGCTGTTTCACTATGTCCATTTGTTGAATTGGTCTTTTGAGGGTAGGGTTCAGTTGACAAGATGATGGAACATGTGAATTTGGAGAGACAATTTGAGGGCACCAACTAGAAGACCCACTGAACCCACACCATTCCACCACCCAGACTACCTATGAAGAAATCCGGATACCTCTTTGAGTCTAAGGAAGGCCACCGTGCGAAACCTGCAAATCACCCAAGAGAGCATCTCGTCTCTGCACTTGGCGTTGTGCGAACGCGTGGGGTACCGCTGCTTAGAGCGACAGCGACACCAACTTGTTTGGATCCGAATTGTTTGTTCTACTTTTGTCCAAGACCATCCATGTACACTCTCTGGAACTAACATGGAAGTGGAGTTTGCCCCCTGTTTGTAGAGGACAAGGACGTCTTCCAAGCAGCCATGCCATCCACTTCCATGTTAGTTCCAAGGAGTATTAGCTACATTGGCATTGGGATCATAGATTTTTCTCGTTGTTGGTCACACATGCAGGTCAAAGATATCATTCTTTAGCTGGAGTGTGTCATACAAAAAGCACGAGGAACACACTACTCCATGAGGCGTTGCAGGACCAGGATTGGACCTTGGTCTTTGGACCTTTAGGCTCTCTTCGAGGGTACACAGGTCGTTCCATGTTGGGGTGCCTATATCAACCGAGGAGGCACAGGAGGATAGGACGAGTCCAAGCCCACCTCTTGTTGATTGGAACTCCTGGGGAGATGTCTTTTAGTCCTCAAAACAGCCCTCACAGCGGGTGAACGAGAGAGATGGGTGGGAGATGGTGGGAGGAGGGGGAGGGGGAAGGGGGCTGGAGGACGGGGAGAGAGAAGGGTGGGAAGAACAAAAAAAAACAAGGCCTGCCAAAACCCGCGACTGCTAGGTGAACCCGCCCTGACGGAGTTTGTGGCGGGTGCTTCTAGAGGAACCAGAGGAACGTCAAATCCTTTTTCACGGTTGGCATGGTGGGTTGACATGCCTTGTAGAGGAAGCTATGCATTCGACCCCGGGGTGATGACCAGGGTGTTTGGGTGCGATGACCAGGGTGCTTGGTGACCTGAAAGCAAGAGATCAAGAGGTTACGTGGAAGATCGATTCTTTTTGTCCCGAAAATCCCCGTGTTGGGGCTCTCGGCCGCGTCGCTCAGGCCATTCCATCAAGAAGCCTGCGTCGACCTCGGCCGCTCGGCGAAGACGTCGCTCTTGGTTTGCTCGGTGTTTTTCTCCGCGGGTTGGGCCCGTCAAGACTACCTGGTGTTTTTCTATTTTTTGATCTTCATCCAGTGTTGTTTGCCGACTAGCTAGTATCAACTTCATCAAGTGTTTTTTTTACCATCAGAGATAGCACACTAGTGGTTTTCTTAATAGTAGTAGTTGGAAGATCACCACATGGATCCACATGGTATGATAGGCTTGCATGACCACCTGCAGTGATCAACCACCTCTTTTTATATGACCAGAGAGAGGTATGGTAACAGTGACCGATATATGCCCGTCCCGTGAGCCTCCTGGAGTTTATTGTTCGATCGTGTTTCTGTTGAAGGTGGAAAAGGGGGGACTCACAGGTTAGGTTATGGAAGCGGAACATGGAACACCTACTTAGATATGGAACTATCACCTGTTACATGCCACAGTTAGGTGAAAAAGGATGGCATGGAACTTTTTGGAACTAACTCAAGTCGCAATGATTTGAGCCTGGATGTTTTTGTTCCTTATCATCATACCTGGACCTTCAAAGGGGTCACCAATGGAGATCCCTAGGCAGTGTAGGGGCTTCCATTGGTGACCCCTTTGAAGGTGCTGCTGTGTTAACATGTGTGTTTCTCTCAGAGGTGATTCTTATTTCCCTGCAGCTCCAACCCTATCATGTCTCAGTCTGTGTAACAGTTGAAACTCAATCAACATCTTCAACCTGGGCAAGCTTCGATGTCCCAAACCCGTTTGCGCTCCAGTCGTACCTCCTTAAAAGGTATGACAGGACCCTCCTGGTACCCACCCCAGTGCCACCTTCTAAGAAGGTCCGACTGGAGCCCAAACAGGAAAACATCCTGGGTAGAGCGGATGAAGATCAGATGGTGCCAGTGCGAAGTCACCTCTGAAACCGAGTTCTGCTATTCGTTTTGGATGGAACCCGCCCCGGTGGCCGGTGCCGCGAACTCCCATCCCCTCCCACCCCAGTCCAGTCACAGTCATGCTGCGCTGCGGGTGGTGAGTCCGGTTTTCACCACCGCGGGCGTCGGCGTGGTCCAGGAGCGGAAACGCTACGCCCGAGAGATCTTCTCCTTGGTCTCTCCGAGGATCGGTGGCCCCAGGTTTTTTTTGGGGGGAGGAAAAAGCGCAATCCCAGGCACTTCCTTCAAACACCCATGACCTCTCAGTCGGACATTCCAACAACAATGGATTTACAAAGGTGGGGTGAACAAACATGGAGGGCGAAAAGGAGGTGGACAAAGGGCTTCAAGCGTGACGACCGAAGTGTCTCAGGTGCTTTTGACAAACACACTGACTGAGTGTTCTCAGTCTTTGAGTCTGAAGCTGATGGTTTGCTTCGACCATGTTTCGGCCCTTTGGTTCCCTGGGTCGGAGGAGGAGGCATGGGTTTAACATGTGATTGAACTGTATACATATAAGTCCAAACTGTCCTAGTCTGGTCCAAGTCACCTGCTTGACCTGCTTGACCCTTCTTTGAGTAGTGTGAACTTGTGCACTTGTATGACCATCTCCAGCACTTCATGAGGTCATTCAGTTCCCGACCTGTAGGGGTGGCATTCGGTGCTGATCTGTATTCCAAGGGCTGAGAGTTCGGGGTGTGGCCTTGGTGCGCAAGGGATGATCCATTAAGGTGCATTAAGGCCTGGGTGATCCATCCAACACTAGGATTTCCAGCCAGTCCAACAGAGATCATCACACCATGTTGGAGTTGTTTGGTAGAGTTTACTCTAAATCTATTGACTGAACAGGCTCGAGCCCGTCACACTTGGAAGGATTCATGGACAAGCTCAGTGATGATCCTTGCTGGAATTGGAGACGAATCAGGGAAGCCTCCTTCAGGAATTTTGAAGATCAAGAAAAACCGAAGCAGAGCTTCCAGGAGTCCCTATAATGGGTACAAAGAGTTCCGGCACGGCTAAGGAGGGGCAGATCTTTGTAGGTAAAAGTGCTTTCTACCTCAGTGCTCATGTTTCTGGGGACTCGCAAACATGGGACATCAGTTCAGGCCTCAAACAAACTGGTTCTTGTTTGCACCTAACTCAAACAGTCAAGGTCATCTACAGTCAAGGTTTTCCATCTACTCAGGTCATGTGCCGACATCCACTTTCGCAAGAAAGTACCACACAAACTGTGAGTTTTTGCCCCTCTTCCATGCGGCTTTTTGACCAAGCACATCATCAGCCAGGAGTTTGGAGATCACCGGTGGCAGGCGCCCAGTGGGTTGGATTTCTTGGGTCGCCATGCAGGGGACAGGTCTGGAACCCCATATTTTATGTAGTGGTCAAGGCTATAGACAGTTGTCTCGAATGCTGCAAGAGGTGATATAGGGGGTATCCGTGAACCACCCCTGGTGCCGGGGGGGGCCTAAAAGATGTTTGTTTGTTTCTTTTCACTCCTGGTTTTTGTTCGGCCTGGCTTCTTCTTCGGGTTCATGTCGCGGATCTTCAGGATTTCAATCGGTCCTTTTTGGGGTCGGTTTTGTTGGTCTCAGAAAGTCATCTAAGATAAGTCTAAGAATCTACCTGGTTTTTGCGGATCAGGTGATGTTGCATTTTCCCGAACTGGGTAAATCCCATTCTAGGGAACATGATTTCTTTACTTGTTCCAGGTTCCGAATCCGCAAATCAGCAAGTAGATGGTTTGAAGCTTGTCCTGTCAGATCGGTTCCGAACATGTAAGGAACGATAGCATGACTGGTCAATGCATCCGAACTTCCTGGTCAATCTTCCCTTGAGCGCCGATCGAGCCGGATGTGTTGAGCGCCAGACATTCGGCTGATGTCATCCACCGGTAGCTCTGTACAATGGACCCTGAGTAGATGGAACATACTCTGCAGGACCAGTTCTGGTGGGTTGATGGACATTTGGGTTGATGGACATTTAGACAACTGGATGAACCGAATAGCCATGCCTGCACACACACGTGCCAATCGCAAACTTCTGGTCCAAGCTACTAGCCTTTGGTAACCCAGGAGTCACAAAGTGGTGCCGAGCTTGGAGGTTGGGGGGTGCCCATTATCCACTCACTTAGGCACCACCCCTTTGTGACCCCTGGACATTTGCTCGAATTGGGTGCATTTGCCATGGCTTTTACAGTCCAGGCTCACACAGTGCTTCTTCGAAGCGATGGTAGTGCTGTGGCCTGCGGATGCAACCATGATGGTCAATGCAATATTCCACCTTTGGAGGAAGGGATGTCATACACCCAGGTTTTTGCAGGCTTCAGTCATACCGTGCTTCTTCGAAGTGATGGACATGCTGTGGCTTGTGGAGACAACCGCGATGGGCAATGCGATCTTCCACCTTTCGAGCCTGGGAATTGCTACATTGCCTCATTTGGAGAAGACCGTGTTTTCCAAGTGGATTTTGTGGAAGATGATGCAATCATGCTGACATGCTTGGATTTGGGGCATGAAAAGTTACAGTTGAAGACACTTGGGTGTGGCTTGGGATACTTGGCAGATTGCGCAGGAATTGGATATCAGTCTTCCGAGTCTTCGACTCGTGCCTGCACGGAGAAGTGTTGGCCTCGCAGAGCAAATCCAAAGGTCACCGCAGATGTGAAGAAAGTGAGAAGTTAAAACATGTGGGAAGATGGTTTGAATATGTTCAAGCCTTGCGCCATCCGGATCGGGATTGTCATTTGTGCGCCGCTGTTCAAGGCAGTTCTGACTTGCACCACTCGGAGAACAAGTATTCTGTTCATTCTGCTCCTCAACTTAGCGCTACTGACTTTCAAGAAAGTGCAGATGCCAGAGTTTCATTTGCTGTGGGTTTTCCCTGGCACGGTCGAGCACAGTGAGATGAGTCTTGGCAAAGAGGAAGTGCATGTGGGTTTGGACTTTGGCTCCCTACTTTTTCAGATCCTATGCATTCTTTGGGCTTGGATCCTTGTTTGCACAGCGATGTATTGTGAAGTGATTTGATCATTTCAGATGAGCCCGCCTTGGACGGCAACTTTGCTGTCTACCTACGAGGGAGATCGACTTCGCAAGAGTTTCTGCTATCAGACTATGAGTGAATAAGCAGACTGTGATTCTTGAATCTGGGAATGAAAAAGACCGCTCCTTCTATAGTGGCCTCAAGATTCTGATTCAGGTTTGATTCCACATGTCCTGCCGAATGTGTCGATTCGCTGGACCACAGCCGGCTCTTTTGTATAATGTGACAATTATGTGAGTGTCTTTTTGTTATATATATATATAGAGTTATTGTGTTTTATTATTGTTATTGTGTTTGCTATGTTTTCCATGTGTTATTGTTTTAAAACTATTTGTTTGCTGCCCACGCTAGCTTTTTCGTGCATGACCAAAGTCATCCTCCCTCCAGTATGTGTTCCATGGGAATCTAAACCTTGAAATTTTGGGATCCAGGCGTTGTGAAATGGAACAACAAGATCCAACGTAAAGCCATCGAAACCAGTCCTGAGGCGTACAGAGATGTTGAAAGAAATACAGGCTTTTAGCCATGTAATTCCAGACAGGGAATCGTGAAAAAGGGCCGTCCAATCCCTAGGAAGGAAGGCCGTTCGTGCCCTTTGTGCCGTTCATGACAGGCGGCAGACTTCACAGTATTCCTTCAACTCGCTGCATTTTGATGCATGCTTCAAGGAAACACATCCGTAACTGCCACAACGCACTTCCCCCCTGGGCTGGTGCTGTACCCGCGTGAACCGGCCACTTCCCGGCTCTTCACGACCGGGCCGAACCGCCCGGTTCAGGCGCTTCCTCGGACGAGCGTATCCTTATCCCAGCAGCTCCAAGCGGTCCAGCGAGTTCAGGCGCACGTCCGTGACCCCGTCGCGCGCGTGCGTTCGTGCCACTCGTAGACCGCTCCACACGCGCCGCTAGCCGCGGTGCTAGACCGGAAGACCTGAAGACCGGAAGACTGGAAGACCGGCAGGGGCGGGTCAGGTGGATGAACGCGGTGTTTGATCGGTGGTGCGGTGTCTGGTGCGGAGTCGCGGTGTTTGGATTCATCGTTGGATTCACTGGTCGGATCTGGTCGGGGTCTTCAGGGTCGCCGTTCTTTGTTTCCCACATCAACTCCTTGAGGTCTCCAATGTCTCCCAGACATAAGGACCCCTGTTGCAACATGTCTGTGCTTGTTGATGCTTGTTGGAGTTTAGATCCCAAACATGTGACTGCAACTTCGTCAAATGCTTGGCTTTGGGTTCACGTTTTTTGCATATTTGTACCCAGGGATCCCACAAAAATGTCCTGCGCAAAGTGCAAACATGAAACACCTCACTGAATGACTTGAGCAACAGCAAGCACCTGTTAACGCTTGGCTCCCTGGATCTTCCAACTGTGCAAACCGTTTGCCTTTTCATCTATAAAATTCAGCCGTTCGTTAGACTTTTGTTGGAAGATCCATGTCTAGATGACAAAGTCTCTTGACATGAAAGCCTATATAAATGATCCATTAGAGCCCTCCGAGGGACGGTGATGTGTTTGACACTTTTACGAGCATCTTTTTACCTTGGAGGCCCAGTTGTCAGTGGATGTCAGTGGATCCCTTTCGGGAAAAGCTATATGCTTAGATGCTATCGGATTCAATTACCTTGTCAGAAGGTGATTGGAGACTGTTGATGCAGGAGTGGAGGGCACAGTTGTACCGAACCTGAGGTACGGTGGCAGTGGATCCCGACCGGGTCGTTTCATGTCGTTTCGAGTCGATCCAGGTGCCGAGGTAGCGAACGGCCCAACACCAGGGCGGGTGGAGTCCCAAAACCAAAGATCGAACCCCCCCACTTGTAACAGTTAGGTCTTTGCCTCCCTTCCCTTCCCTTCCCTTCCCTTCCCTTCGCTTCGCTTCGCTTCGCTTCGCTTCGCTTCGCTTCGCTTCCCTCCTTCCGTCTTTCCTTCCCTTCCTTCTAGCGACCCCAACTGGGTGGTGTTGGCCACTCCTCAGTGCCAGGACTCGCTGGGGCGCCCCTTTGCCGCGCCCCGATGCGTAGGCGCTCGAAGGCGACGCGAGCACGACGCTCAAAGGGCCACGGGGGGGTGTGGTTTGACCTGTGCCGGTCGGGATGTGTTTGTCGGAGGGAATTCCTCAATGTAGGTCTTCAAAAGGCTGATTGGGTGCAAAAGCTTCGAATGGCTAAGCCATATGCAGGGTGACCCTGCATTATAATCCCGTTTGGGTTCCTGGTCGCCCCCCTCCGTTTCGAAGATGGGACTAGCTATGGGTGCCAGGCGAGTCGAATACCACCTTCCCTGGACAGGAGCCCGTCTCGGGATAGCAACCCCCCCGTCCGATGCGCGCACGGATGCGGTTGAGCCATGCACCCACTATAGACCGCCCTTTTGCTCATGGGTAGAGCGGCCCATTTGGATTGTAAACACCTCTGAAGGGCCTGAAAAACGGCTTGATTCATCAAGAGTCTACAAACCCTCGAACCCAGACATGACCCTGTGGATAGGAGAGGATAAAAGTCATGAATGTGGGGCCCGTGGTGATCCAAAATTAGAGGTCTGACTGTCTGACTCAGATTCGCTGGACTCTTCGAACATTCGATGGGAGGTCGGACCTCCGACCTCTAGACGCCTGGGTTGTGAAGAAAGATGGGCGGCCAGTTCACGGGTCAATCTCACTGGCCTATCCCAGCACCATGGAAAGGGTATCCATCACTATCCATCAATAGCCCCTTAGAGGTCAAACGGTGTCCATTAACCACCCCGACTGGGGGTCCAGGTCCATGTTTGTTATGGTTTTATTATGCGTTATTTATTTGCTGTGATTTTGGTTGCACTCCCTGAAATCATCATGGAAGTGGATGGCATGTCCCCCGAGTTTGGACCATGGAATCGGAATACCAAACAGGGGGTGCCATCCACTTCCATGTTTGTTGCAGGGAGGGTAAGGATTTCCAAACAGTGATAGTGCAGGAGGAGACTTTTTGTTCACGACATCATTCTTGTATATTATATATACTTTGTTCCAGCTGCGGGTAAAGCAGATGTCCTTTAGAGTAGGTGCCTGTAGATCTTCCAACCATGCAACGTTTCTGCGTTTTGGCTTGTTTTTGGGAGAAAAAGCCATAAATGTTGTAATTACAATTGAACATATATATGTATGTCCGACTTTATTGCCCTTGTCAGATCCTTCATTCATCAGGCGGTGACAAAGCATGAGTCGCGGAGTGGCGGGCAAGTGAGAGCATAGCGGTGCGGAGACCGATTAGCAGCTGTCAAAACCTTTGGTGTGACAACGATGGTACCCGCTTAGAGCAGGGCTTCTGAAAACAGTAGAACGTTTCTGAAGAGGGTTACATAATACTGTCCCTATACAAGTCCAAAGACCCAGCAAAACCTGGTCTTTACATCCTTATAGGAAGTGTCTTTATGTGACCACGTCCAGTCCAGCGAGGTCTTTGACCTGTCGGGTGTAGCAGCTTGAGCCAATGGAGCAGACATGCCACAAACTACTGTTTTGCAGGGAAGGTAGAAGGAAGTCGAAGTCAGGCAAGCAGAGTAAATACGCGGATATAAATTCTTCAGGACTGCGTTCAATTGTGGAAAGGACTGTATCTAAGCAGATCAATAGGAACCCATCATATAGTGAGTGGGACGAAGAACACGGTCCAAGTATTAGTATGCAAGTTCATTTCCAAATAATGACTAGACATGTTTGTTCGCTAAGACTCACAGAAGAACAGGCAACCTGTGATTCACCCGACAAAACTGGAGCTTGATTTCTAGGTTCTTTCAGCTCGATCTGCAGCACAGCTGTCTACGCTACCTGCAGAGTAGACTTTAAGTCTTTAAGCCACCAATGCCGCCATCCCCACTGTCCAGCTGTGCCAGTTGGAGCTTAAATGTTGGTCTTGGACTTGCACGGCAGTCTCTTCTTGCGGTGACTGATTGGTGAATGTTTCTTAGGCCTCCGGCGTCCGGCATAATACACTTCAGACGGTTTTAGTCGCTGAGTCGGTCCTAGGAGTCCTACCATATAAGAGGCTTTGTCAGCTGATACGTGCAATGGTTGAGCCTTACCAGAAAAAGAAGGCATGTGAATGCACACTCCCAAGATCTTGGCACCAAAAGCTTGGTGCCTGTGGGGATGTGAAGCGGTACGAGGAGACATATTCGAGCATTCAGAAGATGATGTGTACCTAGACCCCACTTCAAGCACCCTAGAAAAGGACGTGACCCGACTTCAAAACCGGTACGACTGTACTCATTCTTGGGAGGGGAGCAGCAGGTCCATAGATCCGTCACACCTGGCATTTGTTCGGCGAAACAACAGGGGTACCTGGATGATGACACACACCGGTACCTGGATCCTGTAAACAAAACCGACTCTGGCCGACTGGGAGGATGTGTTTGTTTGATTCTTTCGATTCTTTAGAAGAAAAAAACAACTCATCTAATCATCTTGGATCCATACAGAAGAACCCTTTCCCTTCACGCGGAAAAATAATCCAATTCAATTGTGGAATCCGATCCGCATATGATGTTGTTTTGGTTTGCATAATATGTTATCCGTTCTTTCCGTTGATTCTGCATATTGTGTTTTTTGCTATATCAGTAAAGAGAGAGAGAGAGAGAAAGATTCAGCCGTATTATAGAGGAAACTCATCAGATACTCATCAGTACATAATATAAATCCTTTTATCAATATAATATATATATTATGACTTTAGCACACTTCAGCAGCTACGTGAGAGTCTTGGGTGTGTATCAGGTGTTCTCTTCCTCTTCTCACAACTGCGCGTGGTGGACAAAAGCTTTGTTTCGCGTGGAACGCACACATGTGCCATGCCAGCATGCAGGGTGTGTAGCTGAGTCAAATAGGGAGACCTCCCAGATTGAGCCTGGAAGGTTCGGGAAATCAACAAAACAAATTGGTTTGTTGGTATCCCTGGTATCCAAATACCTTCTCAGGTTCGGTATGACAGGACCCGAACATGGCACCCACCCTAACCGTCCCCGTCCCAACCGAACCCACCTTCTCAGCTACGACTGGAGCCCTAAGGTAACGCTAGCCTAGCGTATGTATAAACCCTGGAAGTCAAAGACCATTTTTAAAATGGTTGATCTGGCTTTGTAGTGTAAAACCCTTATAGTAAAACAATGGTTGTTCGGTAAAGGCTATTAAAACAATGGTGGTTCGACTTCCAGGGTAAATACATGGCACTGCATCCTCGACCGACCTCTGAAGCCCCGGACGCTGACGCGTGCGACACGAACGCGTGAACGTTCGGTCCTTCCCAGCAGAGGTAGCCAGTGACCTGAACTAGGACCCGTCACCTGGGGTACCTATGGGATATAGTCTATAGGGTCATTCAACCTCTGTTGGTAGCCCCAGTCGAACCTCAGGTTCGGTACGACTGGAACCCAACGTTTTGGCTACCGTCTCCATGAAATCTGCCGAACACATCACCGTACCTGAGGTTCGGTACGAGAGCCCTAGGGTAGAGTTTCTATAGTCCCACTCTTACGGACGTCCGAGCAGAGGAAGTCGACTTGAAGTCTGGGGTTGCACCAGACCACTTCTTGGTCTCCTTGGCAGTGATGTTGGGTGCATGAGGCATCAGTCAAATCTCCATGTCTTCCGCACAGAATCACCAATCAGCCATCATCACACCGAAACGATATATCACTAGAGCCACTCACTTTCTCCATGGTCCATCGATACCATGGCGCCAAACAGGGGATGGATTTGGCGTCCACATGTCATCACACTTCAATGTGGGTGTGTACCTGGACCCGACTTCTAGTACCTTAGAAAACATGACCACATAAAAACAGGTACGACTGTACCCATTTTCCGAGGTACGAACTGAGACTCCAGGTAATAGAAACATGGGCCTACCTACCCCCTCTACTTCAATGGGTCGACTTGGAAAGGTCCATGAGTTCCGAACCGTTCTTCCCTCTTCTTCTTGGGACCTTTCAGCATCTTTTAGCCCTTTCCAGCCGGCTCACTCTCCACTCTTCCAGCCGCCTCTTGCGGTCTTCCTCCGCTCGCTTTGACTCGTCACTTGATTCGCTCCTTCCAGTCGCCTCTTCCTCGCTCTCGAGGTCGGAGTATCGCTTCACCCTGAGTCCTGCCGTTCGGGGACTCGGTCCGGGCCGGAGCGTGGAAGCGACCGGACGTCGCGGTGAACCGGGTCTTTGGGACGGTCATGGGACGATGGCAGGTGCGTTCTGACATGGCGTGGTAGGTCGGCGGCGGGGGTGGCGTGGACGTTGGTTTATGTTGGTGCAGAAAAGCCTGACTCACGGAAGAGGTAGGGTGTAGTGTAGATCATTGGGACTAAAGAGCTTTTGTACTCCTAAGACATCATGCCCATCGACGCCAAGTAGACACCTTGACCGGCTTGACGCCACCACCTCGACTGAGGATCTGACACCACCGACCATCACAGTGGTGAGCATGTGCCCCGGATGACATCGGGTCAGTCGTTCTGCTGGGTCAGTTGTTCTGGCCCAAGGGCGGCAAGTGCGTGGCTGGATGTGGATGTGTTTGAGTCCCATAGGGTCGAAGACCATCCGATTCGGATGTCCTGCCAGACCCCCCCGTTCGACCATTCTCTGGAAGTACGTACTCACCTCCGTTCGACCGTCCGAAAAGGAGGTACCTGGACCCCATGGGAGTTATATAATCCGATGATTCCAATGTCCACGAATTAATAGCCAGATGAAAATCAGTAGAAGTCTGTCATTCCCAATCAACTCCAGTTGGTTCCCAGAATCAATTCCTATGTCCCAGTAATCATCCCAAGTTGCCAAACTTACACAAACAGAATTGTTCAAAGGTGTCAAAGATTATGCATAGCTGCAGAATTATATATTTTAGTGACAGTGCAATGGTGCAACGCCACTGTATGGTTTTCACGAGTCTTGTGTGGTCTTCCAATTCTGTGAACATCCAATTCAACAATGTTAATTCAATCCCTGGATCACTGGATTGGTTTGGTTATGTTTGGTTTAAATAGCTTTGGCTTTGCCATTAACTTACGAACTGGCAACAAAAACCATTGGTTTGATGGACCGTTCTTCTTCCTGTGACTGTACAGGAGTGGTGTTCTTTGTTACTACGAGACTAGGTGTCCAAAGCCATATGGAGAACCATGGTGCCCGAACTGATTTGTGTTAGCCAAGATGCTTGAAACTCTGCAGAGGGAAAACGCCTGTTGCAGACCCTGAATCACTGAAGTTGCAGACCAAGAACAGTCAGAAAACCACCACAGGACTCTACTCTTCGATCGCCACCGAACTTCAATATCTGAAAATCCTTGCACCCCAGTGGTCTTTCTCCGCTTTCGACTCGGCACTTTGGAGGTACGGCATCTCAGAGAACGTGATCCGCGTGACCATTCGCCTAGATGATTCGGGCACCACGTGCGCCTTCTGCCGGGGAGCAAGACATGAAGATCATGGGGGAGCAGGTCTAATTCAACCTGAACTAGAGCCATGGAAGATGAGGAAATTCATGATTTGAGAAACAGCGTCTAAAGATGCCCCAACACTTTCTGTAGCATACGATACTCTTTAACTGGACCTTGTTGTGGTTTGAACATGTGATGTATCATATTACACACATAATCACACAATATCACATATATATATGTTTGTGTATGATTGCCTGTGTTGTTTGTAATGTTTCATGTGCTATGATTTAATTGTATATACATGGGAATAGTGATTGTTGGAGATGGCCTATTCATGGAACTGATCATGTTCCAACCAGGTCAACCTTGTTTTGGTTGGTGTTTGTTTTCCAGTTCTCGCACAAATCCAAGAACATGAGGGGTGATGGTGGTACCAGTACCATTCGTATAGATTCATAGATCACCAGCTGATTCGGGTCTGACCCTGGACCGGTCCAGGCGGTTGGAAAAACCCAAGCCCGAGACCTGTGTCGCACCGGGGAGACTTCGGAACCAGAGCGGTCGGCGGTTCGGTGAGCGGTCGCCCACGAACGCTGAACGAGAACACACGACGTTGGTCCCTCAAATATGACCCAGACACGACCCATGGGACTGCCGTATATGCCGATCAGTTGGGGTGGTGCCAGGGGGGTCAATGGGGCGGCATATATGGCAGTCCCATGGAGTGTTTGGGGACCCCCCTGCTATGGAGGGTGTGTGAAAAGGAGGGACCCACACGACCTTGTTGGTGCAGCGATTTTTTGCTTTGGGTTTGAACGTTCGACCATGCGTGGGAAAATGTGCTGATCTCAATCCCCCGAAGCTATAAGGATATTATAGCGTCTCCTTCGAGTCGTCAACATGAACCCCAGACACTACTATAGAACTCCATTTGACTGGCCATATATACTTATCTTGCATTGATACCTTTTTCAACCGCCCCTGGCCTGATACGCCCCATTCGTCCCATTGGTCGCGTCTGGGAAGTCTTTCGCCAACTATCGACTCACCAGAGCTTGTCAGCAGCAGTCAGAGGCAAACGGAAGGGTAGTGCACAGAAAGGGTTTTGCAAAAACCTATTCTACTAACATCGTGGAAGGCGTGGGACATTCGTAGAACCCAAGGCTATTCGTGGACAGTTCGTGGAATGGTGGGCGAGTAGGAGAACTGACCGCAACGAAATTCCAGAAACCTTCGCAGAACTTTGTGGAAGGTATTTTTGATGCATTAACTTCGTATAAGCGATTTTTGCCGACCCCCTTTCTCCACACACTCTCCATTTAGCCTTCAAGCAGGTATTGCCGAGCCTACGACAGCAGCACCTTCACTCCGGTGTCGCAGGCAGAGTTTAAAAAAATCAACGCACCAGGTGTTTGGCCATGTGCTGGCCACGTGTTTGGGTTCTGAGTAGGCAAGAGAAGGTGGTTTTTTCCGAGAAAACCCATCCATTCCCCCCAAGTCACAGCGCAAGTCACTGGAGGTCCCCAGCCAGTTCACACGGTCACAAGCTCCCAGTGGATCCGGGAGATGGTCCGAGTGGCCCGGTTTTGCTTGGGTGAATCCCCTTCTGGAGAACTAGTGTGTCCGTTGTTGTTTTTGTTCCGCATTCCATTCCTGAAAAGCCAAGAGATGCGGCAATGTTCACACGGACCAGCGGCCAGTCCATGTTTGGCTTCAGGTTTTCCGGTTCGTCCGGTGAAAGGTGGTGGGACCGATCGTGACGTGGCGAAAGCGGCATCTCCGTGACTGGAAGAGATGACCGACAGTTCAATTGCTGAAATCCATCAAGAAAAACCACTCGATGCTTGTATACCAGCCTCCAGTCGTGCCGTTTCGAAGCGACTGGAGTGGCCATTGTCGGGTCCTGTCATACCGAACCTGAGGAGGTACGACGAAGTCGGTGTAGGGATAGATATCATCTCTCTTAAAGAATTTTCCTTCCACTACAGTGGCTCTGGGATTCCGCGGCGGGCTTGGAATGAACTTCCGCACAGGAGTTGCAGGCCTTTCTTTAATCACTTTTTGCACATCCAGTACTAAACACATGCAGTACTGTGCAGTACTCCGGAGAAAAAAAACATGTTTTTACTATGTTTTTTTTACAAACACATGCTGAAGAAGAAATGTGAAGTGAAAATACAAAAGACATCGATGCTGAAGTGAATGTCAATGCAAACCAAAAAAACACATATAATATAGGGGGTGTCCAATTATATTTATATATAACTCCTTAAAGGTGATTCGGGATGTCCATTAACCACAGCAAGCAGGGGTCCCGGGTAAAAACATATCTCCATATTTGCCGATCATTGACCGTCATTGACCCCCCTGGCACCACCCCAAATGTAGGTCAATATAGATGGAGTGTTTGGGTATATGTCGATGTCAGGACTCCCAGCTTTCTTCCGTTGCTCCTCTCGGCCTTTGCAGGGCGGTACGGATGTGCCGACCTTGACGGATTGCACCGTCCCTTGGACGAAGCGAGTGGCTGGAGCGACGAAGCCACGCAAGCACTCGTGGAGGTTGTTCCCACGGATGGGAAGGAGATGCACGGCAGAGAACCCGGATGTATGACACGCATTTGGATTGTTTTTTTATCAGAAGGCTGTGTCTAAGAAGGAAGACGTTCTTCTGGTTTCTTTCTTGATCATGTGTAATGTGTAGGTGTTGTGTGCTCTTCCGAATGCTGGTACGCATATCAGCAATGCTGGTACGCCGGATCCACGTATTCTTGTCTTGCTCACGTTGCAACACTAGACTGGAGTCGTAGGGCAAAAAGACCTACTTTGCAGCAAGAGCCCACTGAGTACCTTGAGCCAAAATGGCTACGGTGTTCACATATGTGCATCTGTGTTGACCTAGACCTAGCTGATGAGGGGGCGGGAGTTCCTATACAGTTGGTATACACTTGCCATATACACGCATTTGTGTTGAGTCAGCTGGAGAGTTGAACTGCTCCTCACGAGATAGCAACAGCGCAAAACAGCACAGGGTAACACATTGCTCTTTGTTGGGCCTAGGCCTCACAAAGGATCTTTTGCAAGTTAGCTCAGCTGCTTTCATCAAAGAGATCAGCTTCAGCTTCAGGGATGGGTCCCATTCTTCGGCATCCTGCTTTGGGGGTGTCCAACACTTTCCAGCTTCTCTTGCTTTCCCCAACTCCGGAACACCGAAGAAGAGCCGCGGGCGCCGCCCATCCGAGGCGTGTCTCCTCGCGATCAACACGGGCTCAGGACGGGGCTGGACGCATTCGGAGCTGGACGCACCAGAGCTTGACGAAGTCGACTCGGAGCAGTGCAATGAATATAGGGTTCACCCTATTTAATTATTTAGACCTCCTGGCCCACAAAGTGAATTCATAGGCTGAGTCCCGAACAACCATTGTTTGAGTAAGGAGTTTAGCCTACAACAGGGTCAACCATATCCAAAAAACTGTCTTACATGGAAGGCTATTGTAGGGTAAGGCTTGTTTGTATTTTGGTCCAAAGCTTGGAAAACTAGAAATTTGTCTAAGTGCGAGTGTGATGTCTTCGGGACTAAGTGGCTTTGTGGTGCAGACCTCAGACCTTAGCTTCCCACCTCGCAGTTTCGGCCGCAGCACCCGGTCATCCCCAGCAGCCACCGCGCTTCTTCCGCCACGCGCCGCGACGACGGCGAGGCACCAACTTCATGGGCACGTCCACCTACGACTCCACCAAAGGCTACGCCCAACATGAGGCCGGACCCTGACGACGCGTCCGGACTGGTCGATCGACGCACCCGGGTGGATCGAGGATCGGGGGGGGGGGGGTTTGTTTGGGGTGATTTGGGGTGTGATCGACCTGCAACCTGGGGTGGCGGTCTTGCTGCCAGGACACCAGAACCATCCTTTTGAAAGCACAAAGCAGGCTTCAAGCAGGCTTCAAGCATATGAAAAACCTTGAAAATCCTGGGCTTTGTGAGCGATCATTTGTGTCTTGTATATATGCCCTATGAATCCACATACCTTCTGAGAAGGTGCTTCTCCAACTCGGAGTCAAGGTGATGTTGGGAGGGCGCCCAGAGAGGGAGGTCGGAGTTGAAAGGGAAGCTTTCAGGTCGGAGTTGGAACTCAAGTCCTCCCAATGTAGACTCTTGATTAATAGAACCCCCCCAGACGTGGATGCACGCAAACTTCTTCACATGGTGTATGTTAACAAAAGAGCTGGTATGATCAAGAGCTAGCTCCCTGCCTACAGAACAACCTTGGCAAGGTTTGATTCGCCAACCTCTGTGAGAAGGATCCCTTTACCAGGCCCTGGAGTTCGACCACTTCGTGACAACTCTGTACCCTGAGCTTCGAGTGTTCCATGAGCTCCTGTTAGACCACTCCTCCGACACTGGTTTTGTCGTTGAGACCACGCCGCGATGGCTTGCCCTAGTTGGACTGGGTGGATCATGTCATTGGGGGAGGCATAGCCAAGCAGCTGTGTAATACACTTGTTGACCACCATCGAAAATCTCGATTCACACTGCAAGCATTGTGTGCATAAATGTTCTGTACCCAGCGACAACTACAGCAGTTCCCGACTTACCGCATTCCTCATTCACCTTCAGCCAATTGAACCCACATCATTAACCAACCCCCAAAATCCTATAAACATTTAGAAACACTTCTTCCACCCATAACACACACACAACACCAAAAAAGTAAACAGACATCAACGTCCACTTCTGTTTGCTTCTCCCGTTTTCGCTCTGCACGTAACGTCCGATTCCCAGGTGGACATTAGTGGCCTCGCGGCGAAGACCTTCTACTGGGTCCGGTGTTCCCGTCGTGACACGACCGGCGGGGCGCGACCGGCGGTTTCGAGGCTTCGGGACTGGAAGAGTTGGAGTGGATCGAGCATGGATGGCACAACTGGATCCAGTTGGAGTGGATGGATAAAATTTGTTAGGTGCCATCTTCTCTGGATCTACTCTGGGTCCATAGCCTCTTAGGGTACCATTGGTCATCCCTAGGTGCATGGTGGTGCAATGATGGGTGATATACCGTACCCCAAGTTAGGTGGAGCAATGATGAGTTACCCCGTCTGGAAACCAGACGTCTTGGGGTGTCTGTGCCATCAGTGGCATCGAACCTCTGAAACCACAAGCACATGGCTTCGGGACCCAAAATCGTGTAGGCAACTACTCCATACATCATCATAGACCTAGACATAGGCATATATGAAACCCTACAAAATCACCCCCAGCTGATCAGCAACTATGCCAGGTGATTGGTAACTATTCCATGCAGTGAACAATTCCACTCATCCCAGCTGACTACGTTGACCTGAAAATCAACTACTCCAGTTTCATAGATGCTCTGAGGATTATTGTTTATGTGGGGTCCTCCACTCCTCGGGATGGACGAAGAGATACAAAGAGCATCGCCGTTTTCTTCACCACAACGACACAACGTGTCGACAATGGGATTGGCATGTGAAATCCAATCAGTTACATCTAGGGCATATAGTTTGGTCCTTGTGGAGAGGAGGAGAACATAGAAGTAGAAAACCGCCCACATGCTTGTTGTTGAGGAATCCAGGGTCTCGTTTAGGTGGCCAGGCCATCCATCAAAACAAGTTCACCAAAGTTTTGCCAACGACATAGGTCATGTACGCGTTTGTCAACTGATTTTTGCCAAGATCCAGTGTTTGGAGTCCGTTCTTTGCACACAGCCTGGAAGTCCAAAGACTATATGTTGTTGGCCCATGTTGGCCCCATAGAAATAAAGGAAGTTCCTCTTCGGGTCACCTAAAGACTATTGTTCTCCCATTCAGCCTTTTCTTGGCGATCTTAAATACTCCAATTTCTGCAGAGTTCCATATTCATTCACAATTCTCACTCACTAAGAACGTATATTTGTCAAGTGTACCCTTACTCCGGGCAGTGGCCATGGCCATAGCACATCGCCATCACCTGGATCCAACTCTCGCAATCCGAGTGGACAAACCAAAAAAGGCCCTCCGAAGCCCTTCCGTCATTTTTACGTGATGAAAAAGCACGTCAGCTGCAAAACCGGAGTGGGGATGCCCCACTCAAGATGAGAAAGTGAGGTGAACCATGGGACGGCCAGTTCCATCCTGTTCTATCGAAGCGAATGGGAGTTCCACCCTGATCCACAATGCGGCAGGTCTATTGCTATTCCCACGACGATGAGATTCCCACGGTGAACGTCGCGACGTCTTCGCAGATGTTGGCCACCGAGCGTCAGGTAAGGTGGAAGCTGGGGACAGAGCGCTGACTGGAATGGCAGGCTTATGGAAATTGGGCAGAGGGTATCGGTATATAATATTGGGGCGTGTCCCACCAAATATCGGTAAAAGATGGTACAAGATCTTCACCATTTACATCCATTTACTATTTGTTGAGGAAGGCCTGCAACCTAACCCATTGGTCGTCATCCACTGTCACCGGTAATGATATTATATATATAATTTTATAATTGTCAATATACGACATTCCGATCTGAATTAATAATAGGGACAGCTCTTTGGAAGGCACAAGAACTTCACCAACAAACTTCGGTGTCATCCGATAGCCAGTGCCCGTTTGTTTACATAATCCCTACACGAACTCCATGAATGGAACGAGCATTTCCAGATCATTAAGTGGAAAGCCTCCTCCACTTCCATGTTATTTCCAGGGAATGTAACAGGCTACCGCCTGCAGCCGCCGACCCTGTGCGGGGAAGGATGAGGAGGGGGAGCGTTCAAGGAGGCTGTAGTGGAGGCCGGGTAGAGTTGGGCGGCACGGTGCACGTTTGATCGGGCACAACGCCCATGCATACTGCAGCTGCCACGACGCAGAAAACAAAGCAACGCTCGAATGCTCGATGCTATTTTCAGATGTGGTGCTTCCAGCAGAACATTCAATGTACAGTTGTTGACAGAGGAAAGGACACTACCCATGTAAAAGAAGATGCCCCAGGGTTTGCAGTCCTTACCCTGTTTTCAAAAAAGGGAACCCTTTATCGAAAGCACGCCCTTTGCAGAGCCCTTGGGAAACAGCAAATCATACATATCACAAGATAACACAAGCAAACATTGGTCAGAGACGAGAACGAGAACTAGGAAAAGACCGCAGCAAATACTGGAAAACCGGAGGAACACCTTGGAACAAGCACCCGAAAGATTCTCATATGGAGACGGTTGCAAGATTTTGTTTGGCTCACCGGTTGCAGAGCCTGTGTGTTGAAGGCGAGAGTCATCTCTCATTTTGATGTTAAGGGTCTGAGCCTGGCGTGCCAGAAAAGCTAAAACATGACCATGACAATGTATTTGATGATGGTATTCTTTTGAGATGGTTGAAGTTGAGTGCGACGAGTGCGATGACAACTCCGACAACGATATGCAGAGATGAACACGCAACTGGAAAATGAGCACAGAACTTTGGAGGAGTAGTGGAGGAAACGCCTGAGGTTTGGCCTAAAACGAATGCAAACACAGATTTATTGCGTCGTTGATACGGAGGCCAGATGCAAGACAGGCGGATGCTGCACAACCACAACTTCAGGTGGTGAGGTCCGACTGTTAAAGCTTCATCAGTGCGATTTCCACCTCCAAAGTGACCACCCCTGCTCCTGGAATTCCTGCATGGTGTCCGATATGCAAACCCTATACACTCTGACTCACTAGCATGGAAGTGGAAAACCACGTGTTTGTAGAGGAAAGTAGTCATCCAAGTGAGCAGAGTTTTTGTTTTTATAGATGTATATAAAGATTTATATAAGCGTTAACCTGCAAATGGTTGGATGTAGGCATTCTGCTTGGGGGCGTAGGCTGGCGTAGGTATGTTTTGCATGTTTTTTGTGGCAGACGCCGCGGAGGCGACACATTTCGCAGCCCATGGGTCAAGAAGATTTATGCAGGAAGACTTTAGTAAGTATAACTTCTCAATATTTCAATAGCTACCTGGATAGGAGTAGGCAATACTAGCAAAACCAACATGCAATGGCTAATGGAATAGAGAACCATTGGACATACCACAGGTTGGGCCAACATGATGCAACATGTTATGTATGAAGCACTGGGTTTTGAAAACCACCCATACTTGCCAATGAACAAGCCTTGCCTTCCAACATGCTGCAGGGTTCGCGGCTGCCAGGGCTCAGTGGAGATGAAGGATGTCAAGGGAACGAGCATTCTCCAATGTGAGTCACAAGCCAATCACAAAGCATGGATAGTGCAGACAGAATCCGGCATAGAGTGGCAGTTTGCAACTCGTGGCCGCTCTAATGTTAAGGGCACAGTGGTGGAGTCAGTGCTTGGCAGCAGATGAAGCGTACTAGCATTTTGATTTCAAGGAGAACGTGCGCTATCCCATGGCCAAGGAAGAGACTGGTGACGAATGGCATGCTCAAAATAAGTTGAGCCTTACCGTTTTCGGCTGCACAGTTTACACTCCAGGGCGTCGCAATTTCAATTTCCTGCTTGTCTCTGAGGTATTAGACCACGACTCTCAGATGGCTCGTCTGTTGTTGACTCGCATCCTCAACGTTGTCCGGGAGAAGCCAGCCTATGCTTGGGACAAGGTCCGTCGAATACATTTGGTCTGCGATTGTTGCCCCCACTTTCGCAGTCGAGAGTCTTATGCCTTTTGCTTGCATGATTTGCCGAATGACCTGGACGTGCCACTAACCCAGTCTGCTTCGATATCTTTAATATCATTTTTTCATTGTTTCACTGTTTCCCCGTGCAGGAAACCACTTAATCACCTCCCATTGCGGTCTGTCCTTCGAATGTCCCCTGTTAGGACAAGACGCGCATCACTGCGGACACTCATGGTCTCACAGCGGAATTTGTACAGTGAAAAGCGAACCGAGCAGAACCACGACCACACAAGAAATCATCTGGATCCAAGCAATGGGATCTCCCAAGAGGAAAGTAACTTCGAACAGCCAGCGTCCATCATCTGAGCTAAACCACGAATTTCATCGGGAGCAAAAAACGGAACAGCGCCCACGATCGCACCTTGAGGGAACGATCGGCCCTCCGATTTCCTGGTTTACAAACAAGTGTAGCCGGGAAACACCTGGTGGTCAGGAATTTTGCCAATGTGGACAAAGATCCTGCGCAGCCAAAAGGATAGATCCCGAAAGGTGACATCATCGCCACAACATGCTTCAAGGGTGTATCCGCGTTTCTGAAATAAAAATGCAAGTTCCATGTAGGAAGTGCAAAAAGCTTCACCAACTTTCCACGCCAATGTCCGAGCAAAACCAATAAAGGTTGTGATGTCGGAAGGAGAATGCTGGGAAAACCACGGGCCTGAAATGTCTAAGACATGCTCAAAGCGCCATGGAAAGTCAACAATGTTCTGGTTCCAATCCCACCGGACAAATTTCCTTTGGAGAGAAGTATTGTCCTCACAAGCAGGAATCTCATCAACAACTACCGTCGCAGGAACTTCCGGAGTAGACAACTCGTTCAATCGAGCCAGAAAAAACTGTCGTGCAAAAATAGCCTGTTGCATCTGTGAAAACATCTGGACCTCTACGGGGAGAGAGGCAGCAGCGATCCGCTTGGCTGCTTGATCAGCCTTGCGGTTACACAAAATATTCTGTACTGTTGTTCCATGTTCGGCAGCGAAAGCTGGAGAAATGAGAAAATCAGGGATGTCATCCCCGACGTGTGAAGGGATCCAGAATAAACGCACCGGTTGGCACCCACCGACATCCCGTGAAACATAAATCTGCAAAATCGCTCGCCACCAGCTAGCATGTGTCCATGAGGAGTCAACACAGCGCTGAGCAATGAGCAAATTGAATTGATCGACGACAGATTTGCAATCAGAAAAAATGTCAATGTTGTGTGTAGCGTGCAAGCATGCTCTGTAGACAGCAAATAACTCCGCAGTGTACGAAGTCAAGACAGGGCAGCAAACTCTCTCTGAATGAATGCATATTCCTCGCTCATCGACCACGCTACAACCTGCCGTGGTAAGCCAAAATGACTCAGGAAAGAAAACAGAACCGTCCGTCCACAAGGAAGCTCGAGGTGCATGTGGGTTGTATACAGCACATACATCATCATGAATGGATGTGAACTGCAAACGATGCTTACAAATTCCAATCGGATGCTCACAGACTCCCAACATGGCGAAGTTTTCACCAAATTCGTGACAAGGAGGTTGGGCAAGGGGAAGAGCATCACACTCAAAGATCCAATGTGGCATAGATTCCGGTTTTCCAAGACAAAACCTACAAAGGTTAGAGTCGATTAAGTTTGCAGCGCACAAGCGGTCGTTCGTGAGTGTACAGCCAACAACCTGCGAGTCAAAATAAGGCAAGAGATTAGTTTCATTCTGAGTTGTTGAGTATCTTCGGCGAAACGTGGCAGTCAGAAAGGGGTCAATGAAGCCCTTTGGTTTGTTAATGTCTTTGCGTTTTTGGTCGGCAGCTCTTTCATAGCAATACTGAACGGCAAGAACTTGCAGTAAGCGTCTAAGCTCGCGAACCCCAACTTCGAGGAGAGGAATGACAATGTCATAAAAAAACAAGTTCAAGCTTGGGAGACAATGACAAGTGAAAAAGCGAAAGGGCTTGCTGCACTTGTAATAAAAGACTATGCTTTGGTAAGTCAGAACAGGCTAAAATGCGGCAGCATTGGGCCACTCGCCCTGGTTGAGAATGAATACAACGCCAAAAATTTAAGATACAGTTGTATGCACGAACGCAAACAGGTTCAACCCGATGAGGAATGGAAAGCAACGCGAAAACCAACATCTTAGATCGCCAATGAGGCCTGGAGCCCCAATACACAGAAACAAGTTCATTCTGAATACGCTCAAGTAAGCGCTTGGGGATCTTAGAAATCTGGGTTGCAAAGGAAATCTGAGGGAGGACTTTAGCTCCCAGGAGATCAGTTTTGACCTTCATTGAAACCGGCAGATTAGAGATATTCTTGATGTCAGAAATGACTTTACTGCATTTGGCAGGGTCAAACAAAAAGGAATTACGATCAGATGTATAGATCTTGGCACCTAAAACATCGAATTCCAAAGAAAGGGGCAACTGTGGAAAAGCTTCCTTTGCAAGAGATCTGGCATTGGCAGACGTTGCCCAAAGAACGCTCTTTTGGTGGTTCAAATGTTGTCCCACCATGAGACCCCACAGCTCTGTTGTACGAAGAGCTTGCTGCAACAAGTGTGAATTCGTGACACGCACCCACATGTACGCATCGTCAATGAAGACACGACAAGTGATATCGTGAA